TGGCAAGCGCTGTGATGATGCTGCCCCAGGAGCTCACGTCCCTATGGATCATCCCGTGGAAGATCTCCAGTATCCGGCCGGAGATTGATGAGCGAGTTCCCAATCGCGGTGCTGGATTCCAGGCCGCAAGACGCGATCGCCTCACCGGTCCCCGCGAGGTTGCACGGGCAATACGAGGAATCACTGGCGAGTGCGTCCATGATCGTCATCATCGAGACGCAGTCCTGCCGCAAGCCCTCGAGATTCATCCGGTGGAAGAGCGCCACGGCCAAATCGACGCGGCTGTGCTCCCAGCACGAAGAAATCATCGCTGTCCAGGCCACCACATTGGAATCCAGCGAGCTCTCACGGAAGAAGATCGCCATGGATTCGTGGAGGAGCCCCCACTTCCCATACATGGCGATCAATCCAGTTCGCAGGTAGGGATTGCACTCCAGCCCGGAGAGGAAGATCCACTCGTGAATCGGTGTCGCGGCGCTCCGGATGGATGGATCCGAGAGCCCTAGCGCGGCCAGGGACTCGAGCACGCTGGCGATCACTGTTGTGTTTGACCATCGAATTGAATTTTTATTCATGAGATTTTGGTCAATATACAACCAAAAACGACGCGTCTCCTGGCGTCCTAGCTGGCACTGGTGTCTGTCCGTACATTGTACGGTTTGCTACCGTAACACTCCCACTCGGGCAGACGCCAAGTGCAGCCCGAAACTGAGAAAATTTCGGCTGGGAGAGTGCCTTGGTCAGAACGTCAGCAGGCATGTCCTGAGTAGAACAATACACAAGCTCGACGATTCCATCTTCATATTGGTCTCGAAGAAAATGGTGTACTGTGTCCATGTGCTTTGTTCTTGAATTGATCTTGCGATTCTTGCTTAAGGCAATGCAGCCCTGATTGTCGCAATAGATCGCTGTTGAACCTGGAAGAGAGTGTTCCATGTCCGTTAGAAGACGACGAAGCCAGATGGCCTCCTTGCAAGCAGCGCTAGCAGCCATATACTCAGCTTCGCAGCTAGAGCAGGCCACAACACTTTGTTTCTTGCTGCTCCAAGAAAGAGCTGCTTGTTGCAAGCTAAAAAAATAGCCTGTGTGCGATCTTCGTGAATCTGGGCAGCCAGCCCAGTCCGAATCACAGTAGCCTTGTAAGCGTGTGACTTTTGACGTGTAAAGTAAGCCAAAAGAAGTGGTAGCTCGTAAGTACCGAAAAATTCTTTTTACTGCTTGCCAATGTGCAGGGCCTGGATTGTCGAGAAACCTGCTTACCATGCTCACTGAGAAGGCAATGTCTGGTCGTGTGCACACCACCAGGTACATCAAGCTTCCCACGGCACTTCGGTAAGGAACGTTCGCCATTTTCCTCCTATCCGAGTCTGTAGAAGGAGATGTATCCTTTGAAAGTCTTAAGCTAGCAACCATTGGCGTGGGTGCAGGTGCACAAGAGTCCATGCCAAATCGTTGCAGGACATCTTCCACATACTTAGTTTGATGCAAAAAGAGGGAGCCATCTTTTCTGCGATCAATCTGGATGCCAAGGCAGTAGCGAGCTTCACCAAGGTCCATCTCAAAATGAGATGAGAAAGCCACCTTGATTTTAGCTAGGAAAGCAAGGCTGTTGCAAATGAGTAGAGTGTCATCTACATACACAGCGATGTAAATCACTTCATCTCCCACTCGTTTAAAGTAGAGATTCGGATCGTTCTTGCTCCTGGAAAAGTGAGATTTCACAAGAAAATCATCAAGCTTTTTGTACCATTGGCGAGAGGCTTGCTTCAAGCCATAAATCGCCTTGTGGAGCTTCCAAACGTGGCTCTCTTGTCCTGGGACCTTGTAGCCTTCCGGCTGCTCCATATAGATGTCCTCATCAAGCTCTCCATTCAGGAAAGCCGTCTTGACATCCATCTGGTGTACGTGCCAATTGTGCGCAGCTGCTAAAGCGAGCAAGGTGCGAATGGTAGTCAGCTTGACCACCGGGGCAAACGTCTCAGTGTAATCCACACCAGCCACTTGAGAGTAGCCTTTTGCCACCAAGCGAGCCTTGTAGCGAGAAATGGTGTGGTCTGGGTTGAGCTTGATACTAGGAATCCACATGGATTTCACTAGTTTACGCCCGGCCGGAGCTCTTTCCACCAAGGAGAAGGTGTTGTTCTTGAGAAAGGAGTTATACTCCTCATCAAAGGCTGCAACCCATTTGTCTCTGTTAGGAGAGGCAAGAGCATCGACGTAGCTGCGAGGAACTTCCAGAATGTCCACGCCAGCAAGCAATGTCTCAACCAAGCCTTCAGGAATGTCTTGAACGACCGAGAGCATTGTCTCGATCAACCGCTGCGGAGGAACACCTAAATACCGGCGGGGAGGCTGATCCGGAGGTACTGCAGGTTGCTCCGGAGGGCCTCGAGGAGAATCTGGTGCGCGCTGGGCAGCCGCGGGTGGTTCTCCATCGAAATATAGGTCATCCCTGAGTGGCTGTTGAGGCCGAACAGGGGATAGGGCACCCCTGTTTGGAGAATTTGGCAAAACCGGAACGCGTAGATCTCCCACCTGGAGATCTGGCGCTCTGGAAGCTCCCACTTGCAGCGGCAAGATAGGAGAGACTACCACCGGTTCCAAGGTTGAAGAAGAGTCTTCAGTTGGAAGAATCGGGGCAGGAGGGAAGAGATCTCCCACTGGATGAGAACGAATAGCATTCTCATTGAAGTGAACGTCGCGGGAGATAATCAGCTTCCTGGAGACTAGGTTGAAAATCCTTGCTCCAGGCTATAGCCAAGAAAGATGCCTCGCTCGCTGGTGGGCGTAAGCTTCTTTCTGATGGCCTTGGGGACGTGAGTGTAGGCCTCACATCCAAAGATACGCAAGTGATCGATGGCTGGCTTGCGGCCTGACCAGGCTTCTTCAGGTGTTTTTCCAAACCGCGGCTTTTGTAGGGAGCCGATTTTGTAGATAGCAGGCTCATAACTGCTTCAGCCCAAAACATAGCAGGAACGCGGTTGGCTTGTAGCATGCTATTTGCGGCATCTATCAAGCTCCGGTTCTTGCGTTCTGCAACTACTCCTCATCCCAATGCACCTAGTGATGCGTCTTGCTGTTGCTATTGCACGCCTACGCATCCTACACTGGTTTCTCCTTCTCGTCATCCAGGATCATAGATCTGCTCCGATACCATGTTGTGTTTGACCATCGAATTGAATTTTTATTCATGAGATTTTGGTCAATATACAACCAAAAACGACGCGTCTCCTGGCGTCCTAGCTGGCACTGGTGTCTGTCCGTACATTGTACGGTTTGCTACCGTAACAATCACGAGCCTGTCCACGCTAACGCCGGAGAGCTGCATCCTCCGGAAGAGATCCATCCCCTCGCGATGCAATCCCATCTCGGCGTGCGCCGCGATGATCAACGTCCATGTGAGAACATTGGGGTCGGGGATCTCGCTCGCATTTGCAGTAGAAGTGGACAAGTGCGCTGCCAATGACGTGATTGCGATTCCACTCGCCACGATCCGGGCGTGGAGATCGCTCCCAGTGGCGAGATCTCTGGTGGAGGAGCACGCGCCCAGGATC